TATATATATATATATATATATATATATATAAACAAAACAAAACAAAACAAAACAAAACAAAACAAAACAAGAAAAATAAGGACCAACAGATAAAAATACCACACACTCACAAACCATCTTCAGATTACAGGATACCATCCTCCTGTGCAAGACAGAACATATAGGTCTTCAACATTTCCTGAAGCCTAAGGCAGATGAGGCTGACTGAATCACTACAAGGAAGGAGCCCCGAAGCGTACGACTAGCTACTAAGGGTGCCTGCTTCCAAGGCTCCATCAGTGACAATTGCATAGGGACAGGACCTGGAAAAAGCTGAGTCAATTTGATGTGGTTGGATGGTCAATAAATACAGGCAAAGGTAGCCCGTCAGATAATCAGGTCTGGAGCCATATAGGTTACCAAATAATTTATGGGTGTAATTTAAGGTGACAACCAGCACCTTGAATTATACCCCAAAATCTGTGGTAACCAATGCTGTTCCTAAATCAGCAAGGTTGCCTGAATATATCGAGATACATTCATCATTGCCTGGGCTGCTACATTTTCCACCAACTGTAGCTTCTGAATGTTCTTCAAGGCTAGCCCCATTTAGTGCATATTATAGTAGCCCCACTGGTGGTGACTAGGGCATGAGTGTCTGTGAGCAGGACTTCCTGGTCAGGGAAAAATCATAATTGGCATTCAAGGTGTAACTCTGCGAAAACCCTCTTAGCCACAACTGCCACCTGTTTTTCAAAGCAGGACTTTTGAGTCTAGGAGAACTCTGAAATTGCAGACTACCTCTGAACACAGGAATATAACCCTATTCAGAGTCAGAGACAGAATTTCCCAGGAATCCCACAAATAGAAAGCTACTCCATCTTGAAAGGATTGGATCAATTGGATTTTATTCCCCTAATTTGAGTTGTTGCCGCCATCTTTTATTATTTTCTATTTTTATGGTGTTGTAATTTTAATTTTATATGAGATTTGTTTTGTATTGAATGTTATGTGAGCTGCTCAAAGTCATTTTTGATTATGGCAGCATACAAATATGATAAATAAATAAATATTCTTTCCTAACCAGATTCTGATAGCCTCCAGACACTGGTTTAGCATTACCATAGTGACAAGATACATAACTGGGCAATATCAGCATACTGGTGATATGAAATTCTGTACCAACAGATAACCTCCCCAGGTTCATGTAGGTGTCTAAAAGGAGTGGAGAGAGGATAGATCCCTGAGGGACTCCACCAAGTAGAGGTCTCTGAGCAGATCTCTCCCCTCCCATCACTACTGGCTGGAAGCAACCCTTCAGGAAGAAGGATAACCACTGTACAACAGTGCCCTCCTTGATTCCCTCAGAGACTGTCCAAAAGGATACCATGGTTGAGAGATCAAGGAGGACCAGAAGGTTTGCCTTCCCGTGATCTCACTCTCTCCATCCACAAGTGTGACCACTGTAGTTTCTGTGCTATATACCAGCCTCAACCCTGACTGGGCACAAATAATTTGTTTCCTTCAGGGCCCATTGCAGTTTCTCCACAACCTTCCAAGAAAAGGAAGGTTTTAGACCATTAAAATTGCTTGTTAAGAATTTGCTGCCCTTTCATGACACCTGAAATCAACTCTTGGAAGTGGAATCCCTTGTGTGTGTTTGTGTGTGTGGATGTGTGGGTGCCTTCAAGTCAGTTTTTTGACTCCTGGCAACTGCCTGGACTAGTCCCTGCAGTTTTCTTAGCAAGGTTTTTTCGAAGAGGTTTGCC